GAATGCCGGAGAGCGAAAGGACTGGCCGAGTGAAAGGCACCAGCATGTCAAAACTGCTCACCGTTTACTCAGAGACAAGCTCTGGCAAGGGAACAGTGTTCTTAAGTTATTAAATGAAATATATCACAAGCATAAAAAAAGCACAATTGTTTCCACTATCAAGTTGCCTTAAAGTGATGAATGGATCAAACATGGCAATTTATTCTCTCTCAAAACACTAAACCAGTTGTCTAGAATGAAATGTGCATTAAGATGAAAGAAACCAAGTGGCAATTAACTAGAAAAAGCCACGGTACCAAGACGGACTGAACCAGAACACAAGTATACGGCAGATGTCACTGAGCGTGCTCCAGCCTTTGGGTAAGCAAGCCTTCCTCCGCACGTGCAACAGGGACTGCTCAAGGCTGTGCTGGGTCCGGACACCCGAACTGGGACCGTCTCTCCTACAATGATAAACATCTGCCCCCTAGAACATAAGAACAGCCATGTACTGGGTCAGACCACAGGGCCATCTTGCCCAGTATCCTGTGTCACGTCGCAGCAGAGAGCGGGTCCTGAAAGGGGGAGTGAACTGAGTATGACCAGAGTTTTTTTCTACTGTCCCAACAGGGTTGGTTTTCTTCTTTTTGCTGACCCAACACAGTGAGGAGGAAGCTACCTGTTTTAAATTCACAGGAGACGAGCCAGACTTAAGGGAGGGTGCTCGGGTCGTAGACTGGGGCAGAGAGCCAGGATGGGGAATGACTGGGACTGCAGGCTGGCAGAATTCAAGAGGGAAAACAAGGAGTTTCAAGACAAAGACTAATGGAATAAAATTCACGTTGAAAGAAGGGTTTACAGAACTGGGTGAGAAAGGGGAATTGGGAATGGCTGGGCAAAGAAGGTAGGGTAAAAAGCTTGACAGTAAATACCATCGGGACTGGAAGAAGATCCCAGGGAGGGAGATTGGGCCTGGGAGCTGGTTGGGATGAGGAGGAAAACTAGAAGCCAGGTTTAGTGGAGAAAGATTAATAGGACAAAAAGAGGGGATCAGGAAACTGAGAACAGGCTGGAAATGCAGCGGGGTGAGACTAGAAAAGCTGGGTGAGGAGACTGGAAATGGGGTGAAAAACTGGAAGAAAGAAGAAAGGCATGGCTAGTTGAGGAAAATGGAACTGGAATGAGGAACCATGGATGAACGAAGAGACAGGACTGGGCAGGAGGCACACAGCTGCATGGTGGAATGGGCAAATGCCTGTGCTTACTTCTGATCTCAATCTCTGTCTTGGTGGCCCCTCTGTACAAGGGGAATATTACCCCCAAATCTAAAGGAGAGCTGGAAAAATACATGTGCTATTGCTGGAAAGCTTTTAGAGACCACACTGATGAGCACCACAAAAGAATGAAGAAGAACAACTACTTCTGGTCTTCAGAGCTTGAAAAACCTGCAGCAAATAAGGCAGGGAACTACAGTGAGCACCATCCATTCCATGCAGTGAATAAGCCAAGGGTCTTGTGGAAAAAATAAGGATGGGCACAC